TTGATCATTCTTCCACATACGAGAACTTACAGCACTACAATTGATAGTTTAAACATTATTGATTCTAACTCGTATATAAAACAAAAACTACAGTAGGAATAAGAATGAATATAATATTATTATTCTTGCTTCTATTTAATCATTATTGCTCATAATATAGTTACTGTCATACTAAATGTATGCAAGACAACACAAAAAGTGTAATTTGTCCTCGTTGCGCAATAATAATACATAATGGCATGCAGAAAGAAACACAAAACAAAATATTTTTCGTGAATAAACACATTACTATTAAACATATAAGTGTCAATAGCAAAGTAATCGATAAGTTTTTATCCAGGTCTTTTTATTAAAATAATGACACCAATTTATTGAAAATAATCGACATATGATTCAACAAAGTACAACTGTACGGTGATCTATCAAGGCATATTAATACAGAACTGAATCATAATGACGTAGAAAAACAAATATTTATTAATATTTCATCTCTTTTGTATTATTAATTATGTTTACATGTAAACAATCGTTTGTATTTGTCTTAATTTACAAAAAAAAGAAAATGATTGCTCAATATTCTTCCTTTTAATAAAATGTTCATTTTTTCTATCTAATAGAACAACATATTCCTCTATAATCATTGCCTGCATCATGTCCATTCTTCATAAACCATAGAGGCGGTAAATATCACAGTGTGTAGAGAACGACAAAAAAGTGTCGGGTTCTTCTTTCAGTATAAACGAGTAACCAACAATCACACCACGAGCTTGAGTTATTGGTTGTTTGTTGCGTTCTCTTTTATATGAGTCATACAAAAAGTAGGAAGAATATGTAGCTTGTATGTTTTTGTTTTCACTCTTATTTTTTGTGTTTTAAAAGACAGTCAGACAAATTTTTCCCTCGTCACGTACTTGCTCAAGCAATAAGTAATATGAATATATATGAATAATATCTATTCATAAATTTTTCATGTTTCATACAGGATATTTGATCACTTTGTTTTTGAAAAACTGAAGAATATATATATATATATGCATATATAAATATATTGTTACTCGGTATTTTAGATAAGTAAAAACAATTATTGATAAACAAATTTCCAGATAAAATGTCTTCTACGTTTCAACGTCAAACATCGTTATTAACTCCTGAAATTGATGAAGGTCTTTATTCTCGACAAATGTAAATTATTATTTTTCTAATTTGATCAAAATATATAAGACAAAAAAAATTTCTTTCTTATTTAGTTATGTCATGGGCAAAGAAGCAATGAATCGATTAGCTCATGCTCATGTTTTAATATCAGGCATGCGTGGTTTAGGTGTTGAAATTGCTAAAAATATTATTTTGGGTGGTGCTAGAACAGTAATTATTCATGATTGTGATAAAGTTCAATATGAAGATCTTTCATCACAAGTAAAAATAAATTCAAATTAATATTTTTGAAATAAATTGAATTTATTTATTTATTTATTTTAGTATTATTTTACTGAATCACATATAGGTCAAAATCGTGCTAAAGTTGCTGTCGAAAAATTATCTGAATTGAATAGTTATGTTCATGTAACACATTCATCAGATGTAATTAATGAAACATTTTTAACAACAAATAAAATTAATGTAAATTTTCATATTGAAATTAATTATTGATTTTAAAATGTATTTTATAGGTATATGTTCTAACTGATGCAAAACTTGATCATCAAGTTTTAGTAGGAAATTATTGTCATGAACATGGAATTAAACTTATTATTGCAAATACTAAAGGTTTATTTGGGTAAAATAAAAAAAAAGCTATAAATCATTTTTTTTGTCTTGATGGAAATAATTTTTTTGTTTTTTAACAGACAAATTTTTTGTGATTTTGGTGAAAAGTTTGAAGTACTTGATACAAATGGAGAAACTCCTATAACACAAGTTGTTACTGAAATTAGTCGTGTTAGTATTTAATGATATAATGAAATATTATTTCTATAGGTTTTATTCTAGGATGATATTGGTGTAGTTTTTATGTCAACAGATACACGACATGGTTTTGAAGATGGTTCATATGTTACATTTCAGGGTGTACAAGGAATGACAGAAGTTAATGACCATGAATTCAAAATTTCTGCACCAAGTAAATATTAATAATGGTATATTGAATTAAATTTAAATTTTTTTTTGTTTTTTCAAAGGTCCATATACAATTACGATTGGTGATACAAGTAAATTTGGTACTTATGAAGGTGGTGGAACAGTGACTGAAGTAAAAAAATCACAAGAAGTAACATTTGTAAGTTTATTGAATATCGATATCAAGAGGAAACTTTTGAAAAAAATTTCATAAAACTAATTTTTATTGAATTTTTTTTATCTAGAAATCATTTGCCGATGCATTAATCGAACCTGATTTATTATTATGTGATTTTTCTAAAATGTCTATGCCTTCGAATCTTCATTTGGCATTTCAAGCTTTGTCTCGTTTTGAAAAACAATATAATATTTTACCGAAACCATGGGATGAAGTACGCAAAAAAAAACAAAAATTTCAATATTATCATTATTTCTATAGGTTTCGTTTGTTTTTTCTTAGCCTGATGCCGAGAAATTTTATGAAATAGTAGAAAAATTAAATATGGAAAATCGAGATAAACCATTAACAGATGATTTAAATAAACATTGGATAAAATTATTTTCGAAAATATGCACTGGTGATTTATGTCCTATGCAGGCTGTTATTGGTGGTATTGCTGCACAAGAAGTTATGAAAGTAAAAAATCTATATTGATAAGAAATATATTCATTAATGTTTTGTTTTGTTTTTGTTCTAAGGCTGTCACAGGAAAATTCATGCCCGTACGACAATTTCTTTATTTTGATGCAATTGAATGTTTACCAGAAAATGTATTTCAACCATCAGATACAATTCCAAAACCAAGATTTTCAACAAGAAAAACACGATATTGTTCTCAAGAAATTGTTTTTGGTGCAGATTTTCAAGAAAAAATATGTAAATCAAAATATTTTGTGGTAAGAAATTATTTCTTTTTTTTTTTAAATAACAACAAATTATTGGTTCATTTTATAAAAGGTTGGTGCTGGTGCAATCGGTTGTGAAATGTTAAAAAATTTTGCTATGATGGGTATAGGATGTGATAAAGAAGGTAGTATTTATGTAACAGATATGGATTCAATTGAAAAATCAAATCTTAATCGACAATTTCTTTTTCGTTCATGGAATATTGGAGTAAAAATTTTCTTTTTGTTTTTTGGTTTTTCAAATTATAAATTTTGACTTTTAATAGCAAATGAAATCAAAAGTTGCAGCAGAAACAGTAAAAATAATGAATCCAAATATGAATATTCATGCATTTATTGAAGGTGTTCTACCCGAAACAGAACATATTTATGATGATGCTTTCTTTGAAAGACTTAATGGTGTTGTTAATGCACTTGATAATATTAAAGCTCGTAAGTTTTATTTAAGATTTGATTACTTAAATCTCAATAGCTTCTCCTGTTACGATAATTACAGTTCTTCTGTTTGATTTTTTTTAAATAGTAAGAAAAACGTCAGAGCTTAGTCGAAATTATATTTTTTTTTTATTACTTCCCAATACGCTCTAGCAGTCTTTACTAGGCATAATAAAATGATTCGAATAGAAATAAATTTCCGTGTTATTGTAAGCGTCAATAGACGTAATAAAATAAAAAGTTACTCAAAAAAGATTGCAGTGTTTATCTAATGAAACATGCTGTAAATCATAAAAATTATCTTCTGGTATGAAATCAATATTTTCACGACATACAAAAACCAAATTAATAGAAAAGAGTAAATCATCTAAGCTAGCAGTTTTACCAAACCAAAAAACGACATGAGTTAATGAAGTATCTAAAATTGATGATAGATTATAATTCGATAAACTAAATAGATTTTTCTTCGAATTTGATTTTCTTCATCGAACTAGGTGAATATATCGATCGTCGTTGTGTTTATTATCGAAAATCATTAGTTGATAGTGGTACATTAGGTACAAAAGCTAGTGTTCAAGTTGTTGTACCATTTCTTACTGAATCATATTCATCAACACGTGATCCACCAGATCCATCAATTCCAATGTGTCTTTTACATAATTTTCCTAATTTAATTGAACATACAATTCAATGGGCTCGTGATAATTTTGCTGGTTTATTTACAATTCCAGCACAACAAGCTGAAGAATATCAACGTAATTCAAGAAAATTTGCACAACGAACATCAACAAATCTTTCAGAATATGATAGAAATGAAATAATTGAAAATGTTAAACGTAGTCTTGGTCAAGAACGACCAAAAAATTTTCTAGATTGTATTAAATGGGTTAGTTGAAATATTTCTGTTCTTTTTTTTTTTTTTTTTTTTATTAAAATTTTTTTTTGATTTATCTTTTAGTCTCGAAATCTTTTCGAACAACAATTTCATAATACAATTGCACAATTACTTTATAATTTTCCACGTGATCATAAGACAACTACTGGTGAACGTTTTTGGAGTGGAAATAAACGATGTCCACATGTACTTAATTTTGATGTTAACAATACAACTCATTTAGATTTTATTGTTGCTGCATCAAATCTTCTTGCTCATATCTATTTTATTGAACAAATACGTGATCGTCAATATATTGCTGATCAAGCTTCAAAAATTTCAGTAGCAAAATTTCAACCGAAATCTGGTGTAGAAATTTTTGAAAATGATGAACAATTGAAATCTGATATGGAAAAGAAAAGACGAAAAAATTCAATAGTTGATGATCAAAGTGAAGAGGAACAAATTAATAAACTTCTTATTCGTTTTCCTAAACATGATGAAATACGTAATATTAAAATTCGAGCACATGAATTTGAAAAAGATGATGATTCTAATTTTCATATTGATTATATTGCTGCAACAGCAAATTTACGTGCTGAAAATTATGAAATTCAATCAGCTGATCGAAGTAAAATTAAACGTATTGCTGGAAATATAATTCCAGCAATTGCAACAACAACAGCTATGGTTACTGGACTTGTTTGTCTTGAAGTTTATAAACTTATTCAAGGTCATAAAAATGTTGAATCATATAAAAATGCTTTTGTTAATTTGGCTTTACCATTCTTTGGTTTTTCTGAACCAGTACCACCGACAAAACAAAAAGTAATGATAAAAGAATATTATTGATTAAAGTATACATTTTATTTTTGATTATAGTATCTTGATTGTGAATATACATTATGGGATCGATTTGATGTTCAAGGTGATATGACATTAGAAGAAATTCTTGAATATTTTAAAGTATAGAAAAAGATATGATTTTAAATTTTTATTATTTATAAGTTTTTTTTAGAAAGAATATAAATTAGTTGTAACTATGCTTGCAGCTGGTTTAATTGTTCTTTATGCTCCACATTTTATGAGACAATCAAATCGATCACAAGATATGAAACGAAAGTAAGAATTAATTTATTTTCCTATGTTAAAGAAATACAATTATCTTTTTAT